AGTAATTATAAATCAAATTCAAACATTTGTTTCTGGAAAGTCATNCTTTTTTAAATTACTGTACTGTACTGCTTTCAACATAAATGAAATAATTTACCTTTTTGGTTGAATCTATTTTCAATATGGTGCCATTGGTTGATGTTATCATAGCCTTCAAGGTTTCTATCCGGTTGAAAACATCCCTCACATAGCAGGCCAAAAACCACCTAGCTCCAACAACAGCTTTCATGGTTGGTGCTTCAGCATAACTATGTTGGCTGATACTGAGAGACTTCAAACCCTTCCTGTGTTTCTGGCAGTCTTCAAGGTATACCAGCTGTTGTCGAAGCCATTCTTCAGAATGTATTTCCTGCAAATTGTTTCTCATGGCTGTGGGACTGTTTCCGAATGTTCTGGAACGCAGCAAAGAAACAACAGCACGATCACAGGCATACTTGTGAGTGAGCAGAACAGGAAATCGTGACTTTACTGCATCACTTAGTTGTTGAAGTAGTCTGGTGTCATACGATATGTACTGCCCTAAGCAAATTCGACAGTACATATATTCTGCTGCAAGGTAATAAAATTCCTTCACATCCATAACCAGTCTTACTCGGTTGTAGAGGCCCTTTGAACGGAGGGAGTTGTCGGCACAATTCATGGCCCCTGCGCAAGGATGACACGCAAATTCGTGAAGCGTTCCATATTTTTCGAATCTTGATACGCGATCCTTTTTACAAACCCTTATCCTAACGCCTGGTATATGATGCTATTTCTTTTTTAATTTCGACGTTTCTTTGGGGGCTGCTTTAAGGCAGTTCTCTGAATGACTGCACGGTTATACATAGGCCTAATTTAGGTAAACAATTATACAACGTCATAACAATCGCCGCTTAAAACAATTCAATGCATTGTTCTTGCTATTTGATGCCAGTATTGTAGGTTGATGTGCCGAAGAAGGTTTCCGAAGGCAATGAATTGCTAAACAACTCAATTACGTCATAATTAGCAATACAATTGACATATATATGCTTCCATAATGCGACGATAATTGCACTTATAACCCTTCCAACCGCATCAAAACTATTTGTTGCTATTATAGGCAGATGGATATTCACTTATTAAAAATTTTTTTCCTCTTATCGTCAATTAGAACTTGAAATTGGCCCTCTTTTCCAAATGACGCTATTGAAGAACGCCTTTTCACTTCGGCTGGATCACATTGACATTGAGAAATGACTAGGAGTTTACCTCTAGCAGACGATTTTTCTTTCTAACATTCATACGTATTCACCTATTAAACAGGAGACCGAGATATTATCCCGTCCTATCTACTACCTATCGCCACATCTTACAGGCACGTTCTATGGTCACATTCATTANA